AAATTAAAAAAAGAATCCAGTCTGTGTTTTTGTGTCTGTGTATTTCTTGTCTTATGCTCTAATCTGTTGATCTGATCTTTTCAGAGATACCTAATGAGAAGGAAATATGGTCTTTAGATCAAATAGGAGACGTAGGAGATGGTGTAATCAGAGCATGTTAAGTTCTTTTTAAAAATGGCCCAGGGAAGGGGTGCGTGGGTGGCTCAGTTGATTAAGCGTCTGCCTTCGCCTCAGGTCATGATCCCAGGGTCCTAGGATCGAGTCCCACGTTGGGCTCCCTGCTCAGCTGGAGCCTGCTTCTCCCTCTCCTCCCCGCTTGTGCTCTCTCTCGCTATCTCTGTCACTACCTGTCTCTCTCTCTCAAATAAATAAATGAAATCTTTAAAAAAAAATGACTCAGTGAAAGGTAATGTGAGGGCAAGGCTGTTTTTAGAGTGGTTTTCTTTCCTTCTTCCTTTTTTTAAAAAAAGATTTTATTTATTTATTTGAGATAGAGAGAGAGAGAGAGCACGAGCAGGGGGAGCAGCAGAAGGAGCAGCAGAGGGAGAGGGAGAAGCAGGCTCCCCGCTGAGCAGAGAGCACGACTCGGGTCTTGATTCCAGGACCCTGAGATCATGACCTGAGCTGAAGGTAGACATTTAACCAACTGAGCCACCCAGGTGACCCTTTGGAGTGAAAAACCAGGAGTAATGTTTGTGCTTTTGCAGCAGGGGTAGTATTCATTGCCTCAGACAGTGGGAGAGAGGAGACAGAGCTGTGTTCTGCTGTGGACTGGACTCATGACCTAGAAGAGGCTCCTCGATGTCCATCCAGACTGCCCGGAAAGCAGGAGGAGCTTTGAGAGTTGGAGGCTCAGCCTCAGGCTTGTGCTAGACCCCCACCATATGTATGTGATGGAGCCAGACTGTTACCACCTTTAGTATAGTTTCAAGAAGAGAACTGAGAGGAACCTCGAATGCTTTCTCCGTCTAGACATGATCCCCACAAGATAATCAATACAATGATTTTGTATGTGGGAATTTTCAAGGTTAGTAACAAACAGTTAAGGTTCCACAGTGATTCATTTCATATTTTAATGTCTTGGCCACTCAAACAAAGTAAAACAAACTTTACCATGGGAGGGAGATTTATCTGGAACCCCAGAGGTAACTGTGTAGTATCTATAGATAATGGCAGGGATTCCTCCAATCTCCTCCCGTAAACTAACCCTGGCTTTTATCACTGAAACTGGAATTATCTTTTCTCAGCGGTCTTCATTCATATACAGTTCTTCAGGAAAGCATTCCCAAAAGGATCAAATACCTTGAAGAAATATTATTTCTTCAACATTAAGCATAATATTCCTTTGAAGGGAACCGGTGTCATGGAGCCATGTGTCTAGACTTCCGTGGCTTCTACTACCCATGGTTACTGCTGCCGTTTCTTGGAGTGTGTTGCTTTTGCTGAAGTAGAAGAGGATTTTGAGAATTTTGAAGTCCTCTAGCTGTCAGGTTCCAGCTAACACAGATGATCCTTCAAAGGATAGTAGGAGAATTCTTACGGATGATAGTGGATGATAGTGCATAACTGAGTGCCAGAACCTTCTGGGATGGCCCCGAGAGACCCAGAGTGCGGATATAGACCACTCTATGAAGGAAGTGACCACATAACAGTCAGGGAGGTGCTCAACCTAGTGCTTTTTCTGTACCACGATATTACCTTGTGATCATTATAGCCCAAGCAAAATATTCAACAGGTTACGCGGGGATTTTCAGTGACTGCATACCACATAACATCATCTACTATGTGTAAACCAATAAAACCTGTTTTAAGACTAGGGACAGATTATTGTAATCTGAGGAACTGTTGTTTTGGGTTTTTGCCCTGAATTTAATTTAGTGACTTCTGGTGTGGAAGGAGTCTCCCGAACTTGGAAAACAGCAAAAACAGTTTTAAAAAGTTAATCAGTTTGGGCGCCTGGGTGGCTCAGTTGGTTAAGCGACTGCCTTCGGCTCAGGTCATGATCCTGGAGTCCCGGGATCGAGTCCCACATCGGGCTCCCTGCTCAGCAGGGAGTCTGCTTCTCCCTCTGACCCTCTTCCCTCTCGTGCTTTCTATCTCTCATTCTCTTTCTCTAATAAATAAATAAAATCTTTAAAAAAAAGTTAATCAGTTAAATCTTGATTATTAATGGAAATGAAAATGACAGTCTTACATAGATAACTAAAATCAATAAGTCAAATATCATCTTTTTTGAAATTCAAATTCCTTTATTTCTGTGAACTTTTAGAAAAGTAGATGTACTGCATATGAGTTTTAGTTTTACCTCCATTGTCTCCTGTTAGGCAAATTCAACAGAAAAGGGCCTCAATCAGTAGAGTATAGTCATCTAACATGGCCATTTGGAAGTATTCAGATTTGTGAGGTCCATGAAAGAAAGAGGAAGAAAGGATAGTCCTAGCAGATCAAATAAAAATGATGAAAGGGAAAGGGAGATTTTTAACCTTACTTCCAAATATCCCTATGGGTTTGGGATGTGCTCATTTAAGGGATTACAGGGAACAGTTTTCAAGTTAGAGGGTCTCCTGAAGGGCCATTATCATGCATACCTTACTGTATGTTGATCACTTCTGGTTCAGATGGGGAGCAGGAGGTCTTTAGGAACATTCAGGAATATGCAAAGGAGGATGAGCACAGGTTGGAAAGGAAAGTGACGTGGGAGAAACAGTTAATAACTGAGAACTGAGGTGTCTTACCTTCTTATGAAGGAAGATTCATTATGATTCATAGGAATTGTAATTTGCCTCTGTGAATTTATTCTTTCACTAAACATAATATATACAGAATATTATAATACTGTGGGCAATACAAAAATGAGTAAAGCAGTGTTTAGCCTTATGGAACTTAAAGTATATTTTAGAGATAATACATGTACTTTAAAACTACAATGCAAAATATGAGAAATGCTTTAGAGGAGGAACAAAGAAATTCAAAAAGATTTTGAATGGAGAGGAAATTTATCTGGGACAAGAAAAGTATTCTTGGTAGAGGTGATATTTGGACTAGATCTTGTAGAGTGAAGAGAATATTGCATGACCAGAGGGGAGAATGTATTCAGGGAATGAAGTGTAACATTCAGTGTTACAGGAGCACTGAGCACAAGCAAAACAAAAAGTCTGTTGGTTGTTGGCAGATTGTACAGGGACTTAAAAGCTATGGCGACATGGATTTAGACTATTTGTTGGGCAAAGGGGAAACCAGTGAAGATTTGAGTGCATGGGAACAATATTATTGAATAGCGTCATAACTGAGCTGCAGTTTGCTAAATGGATAGAGTGGGGAGAGGCTGAAGGTGGAGAGAGCAGTAGGAATAGGTGAGATAATAACAATATGGTGTTCATAATCGTGGGCTCTTATTCTAGAATGTTCTATGGGCACTGCAGGTCATGGCCCACTAGGTTTTGAAATTAATTTACTTAATTAATTTTTTTGTGAGTGCAAATAAATTGTTAATGTCTTTTAGATTATTGTAGGATTATTTTCATGCCTTATCAATAGCCCACAGGGAGACATTGTTATAAAGTAACTCAATTTTTTCAATGGTTTGGCTTATACTTGGACTATATGAATAAATGACACCCTGCCCATAAGCCTGATGTTTAGCTGACATTGTCACAGAGTAACTGTTTCTACAAAGCCTTCATTTAATTGTATCATGGAATGCCCAAGCCTGACTCTCCTAATATCTTCGGGAGACACTTTACTTTGGGGGTACATTTGGTTTTTCAGATCACTTTGTTCATGTGTTCTGTGTTAGGTCCTTAAAATTTGTATTTATTAAAATTTTTTTATTTTTATTTTTTAAGATTTTATTTATTTGACAGAGACACAGCAAGAGAGGGACCACAAGCAGAGGGAGTGGGAGAGGGAGAAGCAGGCTTCCCGCTGAGCAGGGAGCCCGACCCGAGCTGAAGGCAGCCGCTTAACGAATGAGCCACCCAGGTGCCCCGATTAAAATTTTTTTTAAACTAGTGTTTCATGGTTGCAATAGTTAGGCTACTGACACAAGCTTTAAGAGATATTTAGCTGCAGCAATTCAGAGGTATGAATGTTTCTATGTAGAAAGACAAAGCTCATTGATTATTCAACATATTAGCAAATTCTCAATTTGACCTTATAGAAAGGTACAGAGCCACCTCCTGGTGGTTCAAACATGTAAACGCATCTATGAAATGTCAAATTTTTGTGCCATTGCTTTGTAATGACTCATGAAGTTACCATCATCTTCCCCCAGTTTTTGTAAACAAAGATACATTTTGATTAGCTAATTATTATGTATATTCATTTATTAATCAGGATTTCTCTGGATATATAAATCAGTATTTCTCTTTCTCTAGTGTCTGTGTTTTAAAAAAATCACCAAAAAATTAGGGAGATTTCACAACAGAGAAAGGTTAGAAGATCTCTGGCTTCATTTATCACCATAGTTTGTTTCCTAGATATAACTTTTTTTTCAAGGATCATTGCAAAGGGTTTATAAGTAGAAAATGTATTATGGTAAAAAAATCTCTTTGGGAAACTTGGAATAATAAGGAAAAATTTTTAAAAAGTGTTGGTGAGCTCAGGAGAAATGACAAGGAATTGTATAAGGTTTTCCTGAACTCTTTAAGAGATTAAAAACTCTGTCACTTAAGGGGACCTTCTTGACAAAAACATTCTAAAAATCATGGATTATTTTCAAAATTTGCATTACACCTCTTTTATACTCCAACTTGCATGATGTAAAGAACTGAGTGTCTCGGCTGTATTCTTCCTGTCAGGTTAAACTGACCCACTACTTTACAAATTTATAAGGATTTAAATTCCTTTTAAATTGGCTATGGGTTATTGCTTGATAGAAGTGATTCTAAAATAAATAATCTCATTTAATCTCACTTTATTATACTACATTCACTGAATATTTAAATTTTCATACATGTATTGCCCCCTTACTGATATCAATATTTAACTTTTACAGTGAATTAGAGGCCTGTTTTTGAAGTGATCCAGTTTCGGTAATAAACCACATTTGTGTAGACTCCAGGTTTGTTCTTTTGACCACAGTTATCTCCCCAGCTCACAATTCCAATGAGATACCAGGTATCTTTAAGATCCTTTACAACTAAAGGTCCCCCAGAATCACCCTGAAAATAAAAGAAAGAAAATTAGCTAAATATAAAGCTTATTACTTAAAATATTCTGATGAACCACATATTTTATTATTCGATAGCATATGTGTTGATTACCAACTATAGAATAATTAATTGAAACATAGATTTCAAAAGTTATAAAAGCTTTAAATTTCAGTTTCCACATTTTAATTTTTTCAGCTTTATAGACATATAATTGACAAATAAAATTGTGTATATTTAAAGTGTACAAACATGATATTTAACATACATATACTTTGTGAAATGATTACAACAATCAGTTAATTAACACATCTATCACCTCAAACAGTTTCTGTGTGTGTGTGTGTGTGTGTGTGTGTGTGTGTGTGTGTTAAGAATGACTAAGGTCTACTGGCAAATTTCAAGTACACAAACAGAAAGTCTAGCTGGTGTTGGTTTTCTTCTGACTCCAAACAGGGTGCTTGGACCTCGGTTTTATTGGACAGACTAAACCCCTCACCATGAGCCTCAGTTATAATCACTGTATTCCTGTCTTGGACCCTGTCCCTGAGTCACTTTCTTGATATTCTCCCCAATTTTTCTATGGCTAGAGCTTTGTCTTACCACTCACTTGCGCAGTCATTAAGCAGGAATCTTACTTCTGCTCCCCAATTCAGTGAAATCTCTTTATGACCACCTCCTTCCCAAGGCATATCACTAATCTCACCATTTGCCTAGATTCCCATGTGCTATCTACAAATGGACTCGTGTCACTACTTTCCCCTTGTCCATCATGGCTTGGACCTCTCTGTGCATTCTCTGAATTCTAGCTGCCTTCCTCCACATTCTCAGCAACTGAGGCTGGATATGTACCAGATTCCACTCTTGCCCAGCCTATAGGTTACAAAACTCCTTGCTCTTTTCTGACAGAAGTTTATGTGTGTAATTTGTGAGACTCTGGGCAGAGTTTTCTGTCACCCAATATCAAAACAATTTTGATATTTCACCATTTGATATTTGATATGTCATCTCCTTGTAGTTTTCAAGAATCTCATGTTATAAAGCAAGTACGTCCAGGAAGAAATACACTTTCTGCCTTTGTCAGAAAACATACATGCAGGATAGCTATTGGACAGCAGAGGAAGGCACTGGAAAGGGCACAAGGTAGTCCCAACATGGTCTGATCCACCCTCTCAATTAACGTAACAACCTCTCCTTCTCCTTATGCTGAGACCCAACAGATTACTTGGGATTCCCTCAAATACGAATTTTAATTTCACACCTTCATAATTTTTGCTATGCTCTTTCTATATATAGAAAAATAATACTGTTCTCTTATTCTATAACTGGGTAGGAGCCATTTACCCTCAGGTCTCATATCCTTCAGTATGATCTCTCTAATACTTGCTGAAAAATGTTCCCTTCATGCTAAAAATATTTGTTATCCCTTATATCATTTGAAACATCTCATCATAGTTCATTGCTCATGATTATTTACTTTCTAGATGAGAGCACTTTAAGAAAAGGGACTCTATGAACCTTTGGACTTCTGGTATTAAGAAAATTTAATTTTTTTGGTTAGTTTGTTTTATAGCATCAAAGAAACTCTGTTTATAACATTTTGCTTAATAAAACATCTAAAAATGTTTGTGTTGTGAAATCTGCATTTAGAAATTATTGAACTGACAAGATATCTGTATTGGTACTACCATAAAGAACATAGAATATTTCTTGAAAGAGATAAAAATGTTTTGGGTTAATGATATTAAAATAATCTCTCTCCACCTACCCTGCAGGCATCATAAATTCCTTCCAGATATCCAGCACAAAACATTCCAGATTTTATATCATGGCCATATACATGTGGTTGCTTGCACACATCATCACTTATGATTTTCAGTTTGGCTTCTCGAAGATTATTTTGGGATTCCCCTTCAGGGAAAACAAAGTCATTTTAGTGTTTACAATCAACATCCTTAGCTAGAATGAAGTGAGTGGAATTTTTTTCCCAATCTAATCTATTTCATACTAAAATTGTCATTACAGAATGAGATCGAGGTAAGCAGTTTCTAGAGAATAAATTCCCCTTTAAAATCTGGCACACTTAAATGATGATTATTATCCTTTATCACATTTTATAAATACCTATACTAGGAAGAAAAACATTTCCCAGAGTTAAGCAAACTCTCTTGCTGTTGTTATATGTATGTACCTACACTAGATTTTATGATCCAGAGTGTATCTAAGTATGACCAAAAACATTCAAAAACAAAATCATTTTTATTTATTAGAAGTTTAAGTTAGTATATCAAGTTAAATCATTTTAGAGAGGGCCATGGAAGCTTTGTTATCAGAGACTATCTCTACACACTATTCTTATTCTTGATCCCTTTTAAGTTAACCTCTGTAGTTCTGCAGCAGATTTTGCTGCAACTGGACATTGTAGCTGAGAAATGGGAAAACTTGTAAGGTGACTGAGGAAGGTGAAAATGAGTAGTGGAGCAAACCAAGGGGAGGAGGAGATGAAAAGGGTCAAGGGAGGCTCACAAAGATGGGGCACAGAGGGAGGGAGTCTTGGAGTGAAGGTGGGCATGAGGTTGACAGCACACCTGATGAACACCTGGCGTTGCATAGAGAAGAGCACATAGACTCTAGTGTTGCTGAGGGAACATTGCTCTTTTATGTCTTCTTTGAAGCCCACCCTTTTGGAACTGCCTCTCCCTTATTCCATGTGATTCTGACCAGCCTGTCTATCACACATCTGCCTTTCTCGATATAGACACAGGAATGAGTGTTTGAGTTATCCAGTCAACCCAAGTACCCCTGGACAAACACACGACAAAAAGAGACCTTTTCAGGGATTAACGTAGATTCTGGCAAAGAGGGCAGGTTCTTCCCTCTGCAGCTACTAGGGGAAGATGATGTAAACCCTGATGTTGTTGGCCACCTTTGACACTATGTGGAGCTAGAATCCCTCCATATGAAGGCAACCTCAGGGAAAACAGAGCCAGAAATGGGAAGATTCAGAGATTCAGAATCAAATGACATCATACTTCATACTCCTGAATCCAGCTATGTCTGAAACCAGACTCTTCTCATCTTTCTTGACTTCTAAATTACAAGGGCAAAATTTGCCATTTTCTTATTATTTTTGCTTTAATAAGAGTTGAGTTTCTGTCACTTACAAAATAAGAGCTCTAACTAATCCAACCAAACTGTGTGGAAATGGCTGGCAGGATAATATTGATGGAGATTAAATCACACTGTCCTAAAGTGGACATAGTGCTCTGTGGTCCTTTTTGAAATACCTACCACCATAGAAGAGTGCTCCAAATCCTGTGATATAGACAGTGGAATTTGGTTGGAAGGATGCCGAGGCTTCTGGCAGACAAACCCGGTGGATGTCATCAGTAAAGGTGACCCTGGGAGAGAACTGCACGACAGCAATGTCGTATTCTCTTGCTGGAGAGTGATATCTTTCATGGACAATAATTCTTCTGACATTTCTTTTCATTAGTGGAGGGTTGATTGTTGTCCCAAAGCTAACAGTCCATTGACGTGGATTTGCATTACTGGAAAAGGTTAGAAATGAACAGAATATATAAACTGCACTATAATAATTGCATAAAGGTTAATAAAAAACTCCATCTTAAAAATATTTGGCTGTAATGATAGTTTCCTTTGACCTTTAAATATAGTGTATTGCTATTTTGAAAGATAAACTGTGTACAAACAATATCTTAGAGCTGAAATCCAAAAAAGAATTATTGAATTCTAGAACTGTAAAGCATATAAACTATCATTCATTTATCTCTTCAACAAATATTTATTGAAATTCTACATGGTGAGTCTTATTTGAAGTGTTGGGGTTAAAGTTGTGAACCAGACAGAAAAAGTGCCTGCTGCGGGCTGTATTCAATTCCAGTGAAGGAAAAAGAACAAAACAAATTAACAGTAAATAAATCTAAGCAGTAATAATGGTTATGAATAAAATAAAATAGAGTAATTGAATAGAGTATGGGGGTAGGTAGATAATTCTCATTTGAGAATATGGTGTTTAGACTGAGACATGATTGATGAGAAGCCAGCTGTGAGAAGACAGGGAGACAAGTTTCCAGACCAACTTCCCAAGGTCTTACACCAGATGGGCTACAGTTCGAGACACAAGGGAAGAACAGTGGGGCATGAAGGTAGGCAGGAACCAGATTTTAGAGTGTCTTATAGGTCATGAATAAAGTGTTTAGGTTTTATTCAAGTGATATGGGAATTCCTTGGATAATTTTAAGCCATGAGTAATGTAGTTTCATGTACATTTTAAAAAAAATCACATAGCTTCTTTCTGGAGAATAGATTCCTGGAGGGCAAGAATTAACAAGGTAAAAGTTGTCAGAAGTCTTGTGAAAGATGACCAACTGTGGGTGACTTCCAGCTTGTGGGTGACTTCTAGCTTGTGGGCTTGAGCAACTGGTGGATCATGGTACATATAGAGATTGGAAAGGTCATCTAGTAATAAAAGATCATCTAGTAAAGCCTTTGTTTTATACTTAAGGAAAATAAAGTCTAGATGGGTTAAACTATTTGCCTAGTATCATGTCTGCTTGCCTCTCTTTGCTCTTCTCTTTATTGGACATGGTTTCCCATCAAAATCTATTTATTAGTAGCAAGATTAGTGTTCTTAACTAAATAACTGAACTAACATCATCCATGAGGGATAAGCAGAGACAGATACTGCTCACATGGGTACTTGTTTCTCAACCTAATTATTTCTTAATAGGTAGCTTTAGTTAGAGAAAGAAGCATATAAACATATAACGGGGTTTAAGTCCAATTTGACAGCTGTAATTGTGCTGGGATTATTATTTTTTTCTCTAAGGCAACCTAAAATTTAAAATTGAAATTGTGTTTTTATACACAATTTTGATGTGCAAAAATACTCTAATGAGAAAAACTAAATAAAAATTGGTTTGTGGGGGCACCTGGGTGGCTCAGTCAGTTAAGTGTCTGACTCTTGATTGGGGCTCAGGTCATGATCCCAGAGTTGTGAGACTGAGCCCCATGTTGGGCTCTGTGCTAAGCATGGAGCCTGCTTAAGATTCTCTTTCTCCTTCTTCCTCTGCCCCTCCCTGCTCACGCTCCCTTTCTCTCTTAAAAAAAAAAATTGGTTTGTGAACATAACTGTTCATATAGTATAAATATATTGACATTTTTGTTTATAAATCAGTCTTTTGTGAGTTTCATTGATGTAAATTTGCTCTTTCAACTTAATCATGCCTAGATAAACTTAACATAAATCAAGTATTTTGAACTTGGGAATGCAAAGGACAGAACTTGAATTGTATTTATTCAAATGAAAGTAACATTCTAGAGCCTTCAAACAACACCCTCATACTATTTAATACAGCTTGTACTTGCTATATTTGTAGACAACAACCCCAAAAAAACACCTGATATAAGAGATACTAAGTGAAGATTACAGATAAACTTTCTAAATTTTTAATCTAGGCCCAAATTTAAAAAAAGGTGCAATTTAGTGGTGATAAGTATAAAACAGTAATTTAGATCCTCAACTAAAATGTAAAAAAATCCAAGTGTGACTCCTGGTCTGGAAACCATCCCTGTAGAAAGGATCTGGGAGTTTTGTTGATTATTAGCTTGAAAATCAATCACATGAAAAGAGTTCTTAAAGTGTTAATTTCGTATAAGACTGCAATGATATCAAATAATCTTAGAGTAGGGAAGGCCATAAAAAGTCATTTGGTCCTCTCACTGATCCAGTGCTTGAAAGATGGGACTTTGCATGAGGCAGACATATATGCTTATGTTCAGTTTCACCATCCCCTAACATGGTGACCTTGGGCAAGGTACTTCACTTTTCTTTTCTTTTCTTTTTGTTTTAATTTATTTATTTTAGAGAGAGAGAGAAAATGTATGTGAGCAGGGAGGGGGCACAGGGAGAGAGGGAGAGAGAGAGAACCATAAGTGCTGGGCATGGAGCCCGATGCCAGGGCTCGATCCCATGACCCTGAGATCATGACCTGAGCCCAAATCAAGAGTCAGATGCTTGACTGACTAAGCCACCCAGGCGCCCCAACTTAACTTTTCTTATTTCCCTCAGCGTAAAAGGGCTTCTCAAGTAGGGTTTACTTAATGAGGTGAGTGTAAGAATTATATAAAACAAATCTTAAGCATCTAACCAAAAATTTGTAGCACGCCAGACCTTAACAAATGGTAATAGTTGCTGTTGCAAGAACACACTCTCGAGTAGCAATTGTCTTCACTTGAAGCCTTCTGCAGGTGGGGACCTCTCCTTTCCTTAGTCTCTTTCTTCACCTTGGAATCCCTTGCATGTCTGAGCAGCTCTACCTGTTGACAAGTTCTTCCTTGATTCCCTAATTCTCTTCCACAGGAAAGCGTCTCAGACATAGGTTTTGAAAGGCAAGGCTGTATGGTTATACTATCACTTTTATTTATTTTTTTTATCATCCAACACTCTATACTCTAAGAATATTTCATTTTGTCAAGTTTTCTTTTAAGTGTGTTGTCCAGAACAGAATTCACTATCCCAGCCAGAATTTGACCAACGAAGAGTCTAATATCTCCTTTATTTGAAATCTGCATTTATTTTAATTCACTTTAAATCACAAAGTAGTTTTGTGAACAACTGAATTCATAGTGGGTTATTTTCTGACAAGAATTTCTAAGCAATTTTCACATGTTAAAGCACAAATACGCTTTCGGTACTGATATACTTCAATTGTTTTGGACACATTTAGAGCTTTATGTTTATACCTACTAAAATTAATCATTTAGTTCTTGCTTATTACTCTAACATAATTAAAGTCCTTTTGAAATTTCTGTTTTTCTTACCCAAACATTGGTTATCCTTTCCAGCATCTGTCATCAGCTACTTTGTTGATTATAACTTCCACATCATCTGCCAAGCCTAGAAAATACACTGTCTCGGACAGGGTGCAGGATTAAGGTCTTTGGTGGGCCATAAAAAACATCTTCAGCATTTTAATAACAATTCTTAATCATGATACTTTAGATAGAATTGTTTAGTTACCAAGCTAACTATTATTGTCACATTCAATTTATATTGTTTTATGTTTTCAGAAGCCCTCCCATTTTACTTTGTCATTATGACATTGGTCATATTATCTATTTTGAGAAATGTATTTAGTTCTTGGAAGAATATTTCAAGGGAGTCACTGACAAAATCAAGAATGCTTAGAGGAGAAGAACCAAGATTGTAGGACATCTGAAGTTGATGCTGTGAAATAAAGTAGTGATATTTATTTTCACATATGGTTTGGAGATTCTCACTCATTTTATATTGTTTGGCCTGAAAAAGAGAAAATAAGGAACTAGTTATCTCCATGGTTCTATGGGGAAAAAAATACATTTGATCCTTGCTGCTCCAGATGAAAGAACAAATTTCAGTGGGTGGAAGTTATTAGGTTGCAGATTTGGTGTTCAGTGTTATAAAGATATTTGCAAAAGTAAAACCATCTACCACAAAATTGGCAAACTTTGGAGATAGTAAGCTCTCCATTACTCATGCCAAACTAGGCACCTGCATAAGGGATTTCTGTGGGTTCTAACATATTGACCTATTGAAGTCTGATGTCGCTTTAAGAATCTGTCTCTATATAGATTTAGACTCAGGTAGGCAGAATTTACTATGGTATCATAAGTCAGAATTTTATTTGCAAATATCTTCTTTCATTTGGTGGGCTGGTTTTTGTTTTATTTTGTTAATGGCTTCCTTCACCATGCAAAAGCTTTTTATTTTGGTGTAGTCCCAAAATAGTAGCGTAGTTTTGGTGTAGTTTAATTCTGCTTTTGTTTCCCTTACCCAAGGAGATATGTCTAGAAAATATTTCTACAGCTAATGTCAAAGAGATTGCTGCCTATGTTTTCTTCTAGGAATTTTATAGTTTCAGGTCTCACATTTAGGTCTTTAATCCGCTTTGAGTTTATTTTTGTGTATGTTGTAAGATGGTGGTCCAGTTTCATTCTTTTGCATGTAGCTGTCGGGTTTTCCCAACACCATTTGTTGAAGAGACTGTGTTTTCCCATTGTATATTCTTGCTTCCTTTGTTGTAGATTAATTGACCATATAATGGTGGGTTTATTTCTGGGAACTTTATTCTGCTCTATTGATCTATGTGTCTATTTTTTGTGCCAATATCATATTGTCTTGATTACAACTTTGTAATGTATCTTGAAATCTGGGATTGTGATTCCTCCAGCCCTATTCTTTCTCAAGATTGCTTTGGCTATATGGGGTCTTTTGCACAATGAAGGAAATCATCAATGAAACAAAACCTCCTGAGTGGGAGAATGTATTTGCAAATGATATATCTGATAAGGGGTTAATATTCAAAATACAAAAAGAACTTATACAACGCAACACCAAAAAAACCCCCCAAGTGCTCCAATTGAAAAATGGGCAGAGGGCCCAAATAGACATTTTTCCAAAGAAGACACACAGATGGTCAACAGACACATGAAAAGATGCTCAACATCACTGGTCATCAGAGAAATGCAAATCAAAACCAAATGAGACATCACCTTAAACCTATCAGAATGACTAAAATTAAAAAGATAAGAAACAGGTGTTGGCCAGGATGTGGAGAAAGGAGGAACCCCCCCCCCTTACACTGTTGGTGGGAATAGCAAACTGGTACAGCCACTCTGGAAAACAGTATGGAGGTTCCTCAAAAAGTTGAAAATAGAACTATGACCTAGCAACCACACTACTAGGTATTTACCCAAAGAATACAAAAATACTAATTCAAAGGGATACATGCACCCCAATGTTTATAGCAGTATTATCTACAATAGCCAAATTATGGAAACAGCCCAAATATCCATCAACTGATGGATGGATAAAAAAGATATGGTATATATATATGCAATGGGATATTACTCAGCCATAAAAAAAGAATGAAATCTTAACCATTTACATTGACATGGAGTCAGAGTATTATGCTAAATGAAGTAAATCAGAGAAAGACAAATACCGTATGATTTCACTCAAGTGTGGAATTTAAGAAACAAAACAAATGAGCATAGGGGAACAAAGAAAGAGAGGCAAACCAATAAACAGACTCTTAACTACAGAGAATAAACTGATGGTTACCAGAGGGGAGGTGGATGGAGGGATGAGTTAAATAGGTGGTGGGGATTAAGGAGTACAGTTGTTATGATGAGCACTGGGTGTTGTATGTAAGTGTTGAAGCACTAAATTGTACAGTTGAAACTAATATTACACTGTACGTTAACTAAGTGAAATTTATTTATTTATTTATTTTAAGGATTTTATTTATTTATTTGAGAGAGAATGAGATAGAGAGAGAGAGCATGAGAGGGGGGAGGGTCAGAGGGAGAAGCAGACTCCCCGCTGAGCAGGGAGCCAGATGAGGGACTCGATCCCAGGACTCCGGGATCATGACCTGAGCCGAAGGCAGTCACTTAACCAACTGAGCCACCCAGGTGCCCAACTAAGTGAAATTTAAATAAAAACTTAAAAAAAGAAACTAAAACAAAAAGGTTATATGCACTCCTATGTTTTATTGCAGCATTATTTACAATAGCCCAGATATGGAAGCAACTTAAGTATCCACTGATAAACTAGTAGATAAAGAAGATGTGAGGTGTACACACACACACACACACACACACACACACACACACACACAGAGGAATATTACACAGCCATGAAAAAGGATGAGATCATGCTATTTGTAACAGCATGGATGAACCTAGAAAGTATTATGCTAATAATAAATAATTCACACTGAGAAAGACAAATATCATATTATTTCACTCATATGTGAAATCCAAAAAAAAGGAATAAACAAGTAGAATCAGATCTATAAATACAGAGAACATACTGGTAGTTGCCAGAGGAGAGGGGGATTGAAGGATGAGAAAAATAAGGAATGAATAACTCACAGGAATAAAAGGCACAGCATGGGAAATAATAGTCAGTGATGCTATAATAGTGTTGTGTGGTGGTAGATGGCAGCTACACTTGTGGTGAGCACAGCATAACATATATGTTATGATAAGCTGAATCAACATGTTGTACACCTGAAACTAATGTAACATTTGTGTCAACTATACTCCAACACCCCTCCCCCAAACCTGTGAGGCCATGACCAATGAGTGCTGGACAATGACTACTACCCCCACTAATTTTGCAAAGAAGTATGCAACTATAACATTATATTAGAAAAGAACCAGAAACAAAAGTTTCTCATTTACCTCAGTAATATTTAGGGGCATTGGTTATTACTCAGAAGATAATAAAACTTAGTTTTTTAACAATAATGGAGGTCAACTTACAGTCAATAACTTACTTCATAAAACAGTGTGCTGCAGTGATGAGCCACGTATTACTGATCAAGGTGGCCCCACACTGATGTATGTTGTTACACTGAAGGGAAGCTTGCCAAGGCCAGGCAGCCTTCGCTGCGATGTCTCCAGACATTATTCTGTTGACTATTAATGGAACAACTCGTTTACCACAACCTGAAGAGATAAGATCCTTAAGTTATAAGAAACGTCTCTATAGTCTTTGATTCAGAGTACCTAATAGAGAACGGTAATGTAGTATTGATATTTATCAATATACAAACATGTACAATATTAATATCTGTCCTCTGTGTTTCCTGATATGTTGATGTTTTGCTCATCCCTGTATTTATAGTTGTGGATATATATTGCCTACTAAAGCTATGTTAAACCACGAAGGGTTGACATATCACAAAGTATGTGTCCTGAGGATTTATGGTATCCATTGTCTAGATGTCCTGGGAGCTCCTACTAAGACTATTGCTTCCCAGTTTCAGATGATCCAGTGTGTTACTTTGACATGAAGTCTTCACCAGAAGAACTCCTCAAACAAGCAATTGTCCATTTGTTGGAACTCCTTCTCCCATATATTTTCCTGCATGACTAGTTCCTAAGGTGTGCATGGGTTAATGTATAATGACCAGTTTCTCACACTGCAGGATGGAGAGTTCCATGTTTCCACATAAACATCCCATTCACTATTGGTGGGAATAAATATGTACTGTATTATGTGCATCAGATTAGAGATTACTTTGCTGCTTAGGATTCCTAAGAATTAAGTCTGTTCCAAACATGGTGCTAAAGTGCTCGCTTCGGCAGCACATATACCAAACATGGTGCTAATAAAGAAAATATGGTAGATTCAATTCTTGTTCCAACTAATTGGGTATCAAAAAAGAAAACACATTTATTGACTACACTGCATTGTGGCCAGTCATTTTAGAAATCTCCCCCACTCTGCCATTACTCTAGTCTAGACTATCATTTTTCTCATCCGGAGGACCGCAACAGCTTTAGTTCATTGCCCTGCTTCTGGTCCTGCTCTCCTAATCTGTTCTCCATACTGAAAACTGACTGATCTTTCTTGTATGTGTAAACCCTTTAGGGACTTCCCATTGTCTTCCAAATAAAGTCAGAATGTTTCAGCATGCTTCTGGTGCTTGATCACTATTAATCATACCCATTTCCCATGTTCACCAACTCCCATTCAATGTTCCTGTTACACTGACATTTTTCAGTTACAAGAAATGACCATGTTCTTGCTTTTCTGAAGACATTTTTACGTACTACTGCTCCTGCTCAGGGCACTCATTCCACTTGTCACTTGACTTCTCTCTCTCTCCTGTCTCAGGAATCACTTTCTGACCCTACAAGACCAGGTTAAGCTCACTCTGTGATTGACTGCACTTTCTATGCTGTAGCATTTATCACACTATTTTAACATTTCTTGATTTATTTATGTCTTCCCCTACTTTCAAGCTCTTCATTTTAGAGGAGGGATCGTGTCTTATTTATAGTGGTATATTCACTTTCTGGCACTTGGTAGATGTGAAAAAGATACTCATTGAATGAATGAATAAATGAATAGAAATATATAGTGTGTTTGCAAGACAGGGAGGCAAATGCATGAATACCTTTGCTCAAATTCACCACCATTTTGATAAAATCTTTCAAAATTTAGGCCACAGTGATATGAAGTGAGTGGGAGGAGCTGCTGTCAACCATGAAAATGAATGTATTAAGCAAATTTTATAGCTCAGTCACAGACAATAGGGTCTGTTTCCTTCCCATTTATTGCTTTCTTGTGATTTTATTTCTCAGCAGAAAGAACATTTCATAGCATTTTTAAAAATTAGAAAAGCAAGCCCATTTATTCCAAGACAGAAATACATAATTTCTTCTAATTGCCCCCAAATTCCTACCATGTAAAATGTTTTTCTTGAACAAGATGAAAAAGATCAGTCTCAGAGTTAGAAAAAAGTATGTCCATCTGTTGTCCAATTGTTACTCTCTTCCAAAGAAAATGTGTGACATGGATGGGAAATTATGAGCTAATACTTGAAGATATGTCCTTTCTCATGTGGAAATTGAACTTGTTTTTATGAGCTAACTAGACTTACATGCTTGGACAGTTAGCTTCCCTGTTGATGAGCTCATTGCTGAAAAACAAAATAGAATATAGAATGATAATGTGATATTCTCTTAGTTGGTCTTTCAGAGTATATTGACTATATATGGACTCTAGACAGTTGAGCATATAATCAGGAGAACGGCATCCCCAATAAACAAGATATATATACAATTTTTATAGAGATTCATAAGCAACCTCTAATTAGGTGGATAAATGCTCAAGCAGTAGGTGATTAAGGCACAAATAGTAGATGATTAAAACCCACAAATAGTTTGTATTAATACAGAACAGTGGTTTCCTAATGGTGCAAGATATAGCCTCTTTGGATTTCACTTCAGGAGATAGAGAAAATGGGGAAAGAGGAAGCCACTAGATGGGGTCTCCAGGCTCAAACGCAGCCTCAGTCAGAGCAGCTCTGCTTTTATCTCTTCTATTTAAGAATTCACATAAGCCTTTCTTTAGTCAAAGGGTTTGGGAATGATAAAAATCTTTGAAACCACCCGCATAAACTATATTTAAAATATTTCTAAAACACAGTTACTAAATTATCAAAATTATTTTTCTGAAGAATAAACTATTATGTATTCTTATCCAACATCTGCTGAATGGTAAAGACCAATTATTGGACAGAATCTAAAATTAAGTTCCCTCAATTTCCAACAAAGTTAGGAATCTGACAAAGGACACATGAGCATTTCAACTCAAATTTGTGGAAGGCTATTTGAAAACTGATGATTTTCCAGATAAAAAGTTTACTGAGCAGTTTGAGGATAAACTGTTTTACTTATTTCAACCTGTGCCATGGTTCTCAGAATCATACTCTGTCTCTAATTTTACATTGTGCAAAATAAGAATGTTTCTTTCTACTCACCTTCTATAGATCCCACTTGGCAAACTAGTAATGATGAATTCTGTGAAGTGGGAAATTTGAAAATATCCAAATCAAGAATACCTTTACATGCATGCCCAAGTCATTATATGCTGAAAATCAATTGCTCAGGACAGATTCTCAGTATTTATTCTATGGAAGAACTCAATTTTCTGTCAAATGTAGTTTTAAAATAGGTAAATTTCATGTTTCATTTTTTCAAAAACTAATTTAATATGCCCCAGAATAGTAATGAATTAAAATGGAAAATAGTATAATGTTAGAATTTTTCCTTAAAACTTCATCTTAGTTTGAGCAAGATGCAAATTGCCCCTTTCCAGGAAGGATACCAGGTTGCTTGAAATGGTTGTGAGTGTAATTGGATTTTTGAGGATTGAATTTTTAGGGAGAATGATTACACTTAGAGTTAAAATACCCCCATGCAAGTAACTAGCTGTTGATATCTAATTTTTACCAAATAATTTTATTTTTCATGTGTAGGAGTGAAATAAACATTAACACCTTAGTCATGAAAATGACCCTCCAATATACTTCTGAGTTGAGAGTAATCGAGTTGGTAATATTCAGGGGAAAACTACATGCTACAAGTAGCATAAGGGGAACAGGAGCACACATGAACCAAATGTAGGCAGTGAGCAGATCTTTCACAACAATGGTGTTTGTAATGCAAAGAAGCTGATTTTAGCTTTGCTTTGACATGTTGCATCCCGTAAAGGATCCATGCCACACAGTTTTTGTTTTTCAAAAGAAACCCCAGAAAACAAACAAAAAAACAAAACCAACCCACAGATTCTTGACAAATAACAGATAATCTTGGGCTGCAGGGTTATTTCTCGACTTGGTCTAGAATTTTGACAGTTTTCTAGTCTGGGAGCCGCCCAGATTGAGAGTTCCTGGAGAGCTGTGATTTTGCCTGTTAAGAATGACCTCACTGATATGAGGAATTATTAATCTCAGGAAACAAACTGAGGTTTGCTGGAGTGGTGGGGGGTGGGAGGGATGGGGTGGTTGGGTGATAGACATTGGGGAGGGTATGTGCTATGGTGAGCGCTGTGAATTGTGCAAGACTGTTGAATCACAGATCTATACCTCTGAAACAAATAATACATTATATGTTTAAAAAAGAAGAAGAAGAAGAAGATAGCAGGAGGGGAAGAATGAAGGGGGGGAAATCGGAGGGGGAGACGAACCATGAGAGACTATGGACTCTGAAAAACAAACTGAGGGTTCTAGAGGGGAAGGGGTTGGGAGGATGGGTTAGCCTGGTGATGGGTATTAAAGAGGGCACGTTCTGCATGGAGCACTGGGTGTTATACACAATGAATCATGGAACACTACATCAAAAACTAATGATGTAATGTATGGTGATTAACATAACATAATAATAATAAAAAAAAAGAATTGCCTTGAGGATTCTGCTGAGCTTTTCACTTAATGGGTTTTCCTAAGTGTTAGTAAACACTGCTCTTTTTACATTTGGAAATTTGGGAACTTTTAAGGTTCGCTAGCGGGCTCGGAATCTGTGAGGTCCAGCCCGAGGATCTTTCCAGCGCACCTCTCGGGGAGGCTCCTGCAGAACCAGACGCTTCCCTCCGCTGGCCCGACCTGTCCCTTCTCATTTCAGGGAAACCCTTTTATCCAGCTTTTTCTACTACCAATCACTCGCATTATGCTTTTAGGTTTCCAAAGCACATGTAGAACTTACGAGCTTTCTAAATGGTAATGGCCTGTGTATGTTTCACCTTTTCTATTTTCTTGTATATCCTCCTGTTATTTCTATGATTACAGGAAGAATCATTGCAGTTTTACGGATGAGAGAATGGAAGTAAAGTCATGGGCCAATTACTTGGGTGGTCTTGAAGTGACTCTGTAGGGTTAGAATTAGGTAACTTTCAAATCAAGTTCTCCATCAGCACCCTGCCTTTTAAGCTACTAGTCATTAAAGTAAGCTATAGCACACAAACTAATCCTGTAAAAAACAAAAAGGCCAGGCAACTGATAACCATTTCGTGCTTCACTGCTGGTTTCAGATAGCTCAAGGCTTTAAAATTTCTGGCAAATTAACTGGTTATTGGAAATCACACACAACACATCATATAATTTATCAGAATTGCCACTATTTCACAACCTTGATTCATTTGTTTCCTCACCTAACAAGGTGGATTAAGCCCTTGACAGGTTCTTCCTTCCTGGGTTGGGAGAGGTCCCCAGCTTTATTCCCGGAGTAGCTGACTCTTCACCAGCAAAGTCTTGCCCATCCCATTCCCTCAGATTTTCGCTTCCTGGTCAGGTTTCCTCTTGAAGAATCAGCCAGACCCTTGCAAGGGTAGGGCATCCTGTTTCACCTCTAATATTAATCACTTACTCTGAGACTCTTTTAAGTCTGGTGTCCATTGGAATTTGTAGGAGAAATCTGCACTTGTGTGCCAGAAGTAGGTGTTGCGGAAGCAGCTTAATGCACAAAGGTAAACAGGTTTCTGTCTAGCTGGACTCTGCAGAACCTTTAATATGCTAATATAAGAGATGAATATCATAGACAGAATTTCTAAGATGTGTTTGACCACAGAACACTTTTTTATATAGAGCCTCTCAAGAAATTAGAGATCTAGATTTGAAGCTTACATCCTTTTATTTATTAGCATCCTCAACTTTTTGTCTCTCTTTTATATTTATAAAGGTGAATTTGCCTACTTCCTAAGAATATAGAAATTAGATGCTGCGTGTGAAGGGCATAGAAAAGGGCCTTGACAAAGATTGACTTGCCTTTTTAGAGCAATGATAATGGTATAATGGTTCCAGTGATTTTTTTCTAGCTCAGTGATTTTTCAAACATTTATAAGGTGGCTTTAGTGGCTCCAAAGTTGATTTATTATCTTTCCAAATGCCCACAGGAGAAAACGTTAAGAGAAACTTCACTATATACAGAAACCACATATATTTTTTAAAGGCAACAAATGAGTTTATGTTTTAGGAAGGTCCCACCCCAAAAAATAGTTGTTGCTAAATGCTTGGTATTTTCACTAGCTTAGTCATGGAGGCAGTGGCTGGCTCAGATTAATTCTCTGTTAGTGGTTAAGGTTCGCCTTTATTTAAGGATGAGTGTCAGTCAATACCTACAGGAAAAACCACTTGACAACTAACTTCAGACATGCTTTCATCAGAGAAACATAAAACCTTGAAATGTCACTTTTTTAACTTGAAAAAATTTTCCCATCTAAATTCTAGCTGTTATTTGGAATGGAAGTAATGGCAAGTAAGTTTAAGATTAGACATAAAATGGACCTAATAGAAAACTTCACATCTGATAGAAAGGTGTACTGACTTACCATTAACTTGAACTGAAGAGGCATTTATGGGTAAGGCTCTTGTGTTCCTTATCTTCTGATTTAAGATGCTAAGGATTTTCTCCTTTATTAAGGCCCTTTGCTCAGTAGAGGGGAACTGGAACACCATAATGATATCTGCCTTCACACCATTTTCCTCTGGACTGCAACATACAAGAGAAAGGTGTTTATTGAAAGAATACACTGGGTCTTATACTCTTTCCTGGATTTTAATGCCCCTGAATTTTGCCTTAATTGCTAAAAGTGTCGAGGACTAATCTTCTTACATCGACATTCATCTGTGTGTCACTGTCTGACCCAATATCATTTCGTATGTTCCCTCTTTAAGTTTCCATCATGTTTTGAGGAAAATTTCCCCATTAATTTGAAGGCTTATTATAGCAGTTGGGTAAGAGTCAGATATCAACAAAATTTCATCCAAATTGTAAAGTCTGAGGATCAGAAGAAACCTTAGTGGTCTCTTTGGCCAGTCTCTCATGTATCTGATACCTACATCACCTCTAAGCATCCATGGCCCTCTAGCCCCATGCAGTAATTAAAATGATGGGACATTTACTTCCCTCCAGAGGCTGTTTCTCTTTGGTCAGCTCTAATTTTAAGAGAATTCTTCATTTTGAGTTGAAATATGTCTCTTTATATCTTCCATTACGTTAAGCTTAGGTCTACCAGTTGGGACATATATATAAAACATCAGGTTCCTCTCCCACATAAAATATTTGAAGACAGTGACATTCTTGGTTCCTGAGTCTTCTCCACATTAAACATGTCCAGTTCCTTGAATTTTTTTTCATATAAGCAAGTTCAAGACCCTCTACCTGTAGTATTCAGTTTTTCCTTTTAAATTAGGAAAACCAAACAATTAAAGGCCTTTAAAAAAAATTGAACTCTATGTATTGATCTGCCATGTTTCTTATTTTTACACTTCAAAAGACCCAAACTCTGAAAAGCACTACAAGCCTAATTCTCCTGAATCCTTTGGCTAAACACAGGAAATCATATTGATTCTGAAGCATTTTATATATCGTGGTCCATTTAGGCTCTAGAATGTGAAGATACAAATAATCAGAATTTTATGTCAAATTGGCAAATGAATGACCAAGTAATTTTCCCTCTTGAAACAGAAGGAAAACACTGTTTATGAGGTGGAATTTCTCTGGATCCACACAAAAGCTTATAATGTTATAATTGTTATAATGTTATAATTATATTATAATTGTTATAATGACTATAAATTCAAAGGAGTTCACAAGACTATAATATTTCTAGAATGTTATGGCAAATCAGAATTTGAAAAGAAAGGATATGAAATCCAGAGAATTTCAGCAAATATGTGCTTTTTATCTCCTAAACATTGTAGAATTTATCCAATTTATATTATAAAATCTTTCTGGAGGTCACTAGCTATTTAGTAAAGTGTAAGGAACTTGGAGTAAGTCTTCCAATAAGACATTAGTTGGTTGGTGAGAAAAGTTATTATTATTTCCTTTATATAAATCTGTCTGAACATATTCATTTTTTGAGGATGCGTCCTATGGGCCCATAGGTTTGCACCTATTATGTATTTATGTTTTGCTACGTGCTTTCCAAATAACATAAAACCTCTGAGAAATTTCTGCAATTGATATGAGCCTTCCCCCTCTACCATAACAAACAGAAAATTCATTAAAACAGGAACATCTTTTTTGGGGGACATGCCTCCCGGGACTTCATTACAGGCAAAACTTATGAACCCATTTTGTAGTCAGCTTTGCCTTCTTATTTTTGAACTGATACGTCTGTCAAGACAACTTGGTGGGTTTTCCCAAGGCCACAGGTTCTGGTAGTCCTGGGCCTTACAATCAGTTGATGGTTTGTTTTTTTTTTTAAACTTTTTTTTTAAGGTTTTTATTTATTTGACAGAGAGCTAGAGAGAGAGCACAAGTAGGCAGAGCAGCAGGCAGAGGGAGAGGGCAAAGCAGGCACTCTGCTGAGCAGGGAGCCCCATGTGGGGCTCGATCCCAGGACCCTGGAACCATGACCCGAGTCGAAAGCAGTCGCCTAACCAACTGAGCCACCCAGGCACCCCAGTTGATGGGGTTTGAATCCTTGTTCTTCACTTGGGGAACTTTGAATGTATCACTTAACTTCCCTGCATCTTAGTTTTTGCATTTAGAAAATGGTGGTCAACCCTGTATCTCCAGACTGCTGTAGAGATAATCTTCATGAGAAATCTTAGGCAAGAGCCAAGCTCAAAGAGGCAACAACATATGAGAGTTCCCATCTCCTTTGCTCTATGTCCCTCCAGGCTGGGAGTCCCACCTTTGCCCAAACATACATACGTCAATCTGACTACTTGGTTCTTGATATAATGCTTGTTCAAGTCTGAATCTATAAATATCTCATCCACCTGTTATTAAAACAAGAGAAAAACTCTGTGTTAATAAGATATTTTATAATAAGAATATCCTTCTGATTAAATGCTAAAACAATAGAAAGGAGTTTTAAAATGAATAATATTATTTAAACCAACAGTTCTCAGCTTTCACTGTGAAACAATTATTGGCAGATTTTTTTTAATTATAGATACGGAAGCCCCTCAGATTTTTGGTTATAATTGATTAGGAGGGAACGAGGAACCTAGGCATTCATATTTTTAAAAACCTCCCCAGGTGATTCTAACGTGCTGACATAGGTAATTTGAAGTATCTTCCTAAAATTCTATAGAAGGTGAAGCCAAAAGACACAGAGCCAAGATGTGACACGGAGGGAGGTTTTGAGAGATGGTGAGGAGAACCTTGGTTGAGTACTGGGTTTGAAGCCTATCCTGCTGCTCATAAACTGGGCAATGTTGGAAGTTCCTGAACCAGTCTGAGCCTCAGTTTCCCAACCTGTAAAAAACAAAGATATTGGTATGCTACTCATAGGGTATAAAGATTAAACACACATAAGATGTTGGGTATATTTTGGTAGTGAACTGTACCCCCCCATCCCAGCATTTCAGGTCTCAGATTTTTCTGCGAGTCTTTGGCTGTTAGTACGGAGAACCGGCATTGTGAGAGAGCCAATGATTTTTAAATTGTTGATTGTGGGCCCTAGGGTAAATCAGAGAGGAAGAAAGAGTAAGATGGCGTTGCAGATTTAGATCAAAGTTGTATCACTCAGTTTATATCACCAACGAAGGAGAAGATAAGCTATTGCTTTGGGTTCATTTGTACAGAATTTTAATTGCCTGATCCAGCATCATGCGGCTGTGGCTTACCACACCGGGATTTTGGCTTGCAGTATCTCCTAGTGACCACTTGGTGGCAACAGTGTCATCTAAACTAAACGTTGAGCATTGCATTTCACATTTGATCGTAGATGAACCAAATGTGCAAAAACCATGTCCTAAATCCTTAAGGAAGGGGCAAGAAAACCAACTCATTTTGAAAAATGCAAAAACATAAAAATAAATGAAAGGCTATATCAGAGATCAGGGAACAAGTCATGGCTTCCTTAGCACTACCAGGCATTCACAAGTGCTTAATTGGGACACAGAATATTCCTGATCTCCTTTAACCCTTACAATAACTGGTATGGAATAAAAATTATCTTGATTTGTATTTTATTTGAAGAGGAAACTTGGAAGCATTAGGTAAATTTCCCTGGCATCATGTGGATCATAACTGGGATTTAAATTTAGTTCTTCTCTTTGCAGAGCCACCTCTTCTCATTAACTGCACAGCCTCCTTGTTAAATGTGATGTACATTTTACTTCAAGCTCTTTCACAGAACACAAAACAATAAGTCATAAAATAAACGGTTGGTTGACTTAAAGTATAGAACTAGTCAAGATATAATTGGTCATATACTTGTAAACCTGAAGATCAAAGGCAGTATTTAGAAAGTAGAAAAATTGCTAGTCTCCAAAATATACACACTTATTTGTATTTACATAAGAACGTAAATGGGCTGAGGAGATGAGTTTATAAGCTAGAAATGGAACTGTTTTGGAAGGTGTGTTTTTGCAGGAATGGCATTGTTGTAATGATTTCTCTTGTTACACACAGCTAGTCTTATTACTCAGTATCTGGGGGAAATCCAAAAGGAAAGAAATAGCAAAAAAACAAAACAAAAAACTCAGGCCAACCCAACAGGAAGAAAAGTGCCAAATATTAAAGGGAAGAAAAGTAAATAACAGTTGAGTATTTGTAGAAGTTTGGTTTGTAATTATCCTCTGAAATTCCACCCACAATTGTTCCCTTGGCTGTCTGTAACTTGTTGGTGAAGGTATTAGATTAAGTTTTTGACTTTAGATGACATCATTCTAAAGTCACATGGCTGCTAAGAAAAATATCTGTGCCCAGCATCAATCCGGTCTTGAAAGGATTTCAATTGTCTGGGAAGAATATCATAAGAAGAATCTAAGTATATGTGGCTTCAGTAATCATAAAGTTTTCTTCTTTCTAATACAAATCTCAGGACCCTGCCCCTATTAAGCCTCTTTGATTAGCCTGGGGTGAGGCCCAGGATCTCCAGGTGATCAGGTAGCCTGAGGAAAACACTGAGAAGTGCTGAGGCACAGGGACTGGCTAAAAGGGTTTCTACAATAAAGGAATTTTCAGCAGGGGGAATCAGAGAAAACAGGAACCTAAACTCTTGCTGAATGGATTTTATGTATGAACTAGCTTTCTAGAGACCCTAAAATAATGATTAATCATTAATCATGATTACTCTTTCCTAGAAGATGAAGGCTTACCTCATAAGAAACATTCTGCTGATACTTTGGCATTTTAAATTTTTAGAAGTTTTAGAACACTTTTTTCTAAACTGTGTGCCAGTTTGTTATAAATGTATTATTTACACAAACTAATAAAGATACTGATTTATAAATCTAGCCCACCTCCCATTCTTGGCATTTGCCAAGTTTACTAGTTGTAATTAGTCACTTAACATTAAACACAGACCCCACCCCTTTCAGGGTAGTACCTCTTTATGTTTGATGATTTTGAAATGATGGAAGTTGCACTGAGATTAAGTTCTAAAAGGGCAATTGAAAGTTAGTGTAGTGTTTAATAAAAGAGTTAGGGAGAGGCTGTTAACTCCAACAAACAGTCGCGCCCAACCATTTGGCTCTCATTCCTGAACAAAATCTGTTTACACATGTCACCCGCCTTTCACCGTCAGAGGCTTCCCAACTTGGCTTCTCTCTCAGCAATCTTTAGTATTTACGTAGGAGGTATTTCAGGGCTGAGACTGCAAACCAGATAGATATGCCACCAAAGATCAGCCAATGGAATATAAACACAGTTTCTTCCAATGTCACACCAGATGAGCCCTGAGAATTAAAGGACCCACAAACATGCCATGAAGAAGACTTCAGATTCTGTTGCTTTCTCCTAATTATAAGAGTAGCACACAAAGAACAGTATGAGATACTTTAAAAAAAACAACAACACACGTTTAGCCTTAAATAAGACTTAACTGAAGTTAAGGGCTGACCTCAAGGTAAAAATAGAGAATAAAGCACAATTCATTTTTGCCTCTGGTCACAGAGTCAGATATTCAAGGGCTTCACCTTCTGTTGCCCATCTTCCATCCCGTCCGGTCTTCAACACCACCTGTACCTGTCAGGCTTAACCCTTATTTCCTGTGTACTTGCCCTTTACAGGCTATTCCTTGAATCTGTAACACCCTCCCCCATTCTACTGGTTCTGCTTTTCTGAGCCACAACTCTCCTTCAAGGTCTATTTCAGATAATATCTTCTTTGTGGTTATTCCTTGAACCTCAGAGTAATCTTTCCTCTTTCTGTCTTAATTTTTCTTATCCCTACTATACCTTCTACTTCCTCCTTAATATAGTTATTTATGCAAGTGTATTATCTCCTTTACTACACTGTACACCTGTTAGCTATAAGTGTTGATTTTTTCATGCTCTACAATATGTAGGAATACAGCATGTTTTGTTGAATGAATGAATGAAAGAAAGCGAAAATTTATCAGAAAGTCTTGCATTTACCAGGAAAGTTGCAAGAGTTTTTAATGAGCTTTTCATCAGATTTAGACCTATGCTTCTGGAGAAAAAAGCAAACTGACTATGAATTACTGATGGGAATTCTTTCTCCTTTTGGACATTTTCAGGAAATTTGATTGCTTATGGAAAGCCCCTCCATGGTAACAATGCGATAGATACAATAGTTGGAATAGTCATCATAGTTGTGTATCCTGTGCACCAAGCACTAACTCCATTGTATTTCTGAGCTCATTTGCTTTTCTCATCAACCCTCTGAGGTGAATACTCTTATTGTCTGCATTATATAGATGACTTGCTCAAGGTGACAAAGCAGTGAGCCAGCTGACCTTGGGATAAGCACACATGTGGGTTTTTACAAAAAGCTCCTACCCACTGATGTGTAGTAGGCAGCATGTAAGGGGTGAAGAAACTGTTTTATCCCTCTCCAAAGGCAGTCTGTTTTCTTTGCCTTCTAAATATGAGAACTATAATCTTGATAGTTCTTATTGCAATTTTTAAAGTTGTATCTATTTAAAATTCTAGATTTTTGGCAAAACAAGAATCAAAAAGTCAGTTATGAATAATTTTTCTAAACCTACATAGAGTGTGGCCAACTTGAACAGTGATGGTGTTTACGGGATTCTGAAGCTTGGTGGCCTTCTGGGTATTGAGTCACTTTGTGTTCACAAAAGTTCTTTAAAAAAAAAAAACAACTGCCACAACTTTGAACCCAGTGCTGTGTCTATTAGAGATGACAGTGGATCCAATGTCATGTGGGGTGTGTGGGTGGAGTGCCATGGAAGTGTGACTTTCTCATTATTCTAAACCAGGAGGTAATGATATCAACAAATGGGTTGTGACATTATGTGATATTATCAAAGTTATTTCTTTGATTGCACTAGTCCTTTGATGTGTTTCCTTGTATGACATCAGAAAGAAACAGATGGACATGTGTAACTGTCTGATCACACATAGCAAGTAGCTATATATTGGATAACCTTATCCCAGATTGGTTTATATTCCTGAGATTGAGAGCCAAAGTAAATTCAATAAATTGAAATGTTTGCAATTAAGGTGATAAAGGATAAATTATTAACTTTCAGCATAACACAAAGGCTTAGAGTTCTGAATTACCATTTTAGAAAAGGAATATATATAATTTGTGTCTTTTTAAAGTTGTACTAAAGATATTTAAACCAGAATGAGGCAAAGGAAGGTCATTTTTTAGAAGGTTCCTGTGCTCTCCAGGTGTGTTGTCCTGGAAATCTCTAAATTATTCGGTGAGAAGGACAAAGAGAGAGAGAGGATATGAATCATTACTCTTAGAATCTCTTACACTTCCTGAATGATGAACAATAATCTAAGTAGATTATCCAGTAAAGACTGTGCTATAGTCACAACTTTATCAGGAAGTT